TTGTTTTTCTCTGACTTACTTATTTCACTTAGCATTTTACCCTCTAGATCCACCCATGTGTTTGTAAATGGCAAGATTTCATTCCTTTTATGGATGAATAATACCAATACCATTATATATATATACATGTAAAGATATATATATATATATATATATACACACCACATCCTCCTTATCCGTTCATTTATGAATTGGACTGTTTCCATAGTTTCGCTATTGTAAATAATCCTGCAATAAACATAGGGGTGCATGTATCTTCAAGTTAGTGTTTTTGTATTTTTCGGGTAAATACCCAGTAGTGGAATTACTGGATTATAGGGTAAGTCTATTTTTAATTTTTTGAGGAACCTCCATACTGTTTCCCACAGTGACTGCGCCAGTTTTCATTACTTTTTCTCCACATCCTCACCAACACTTGTTGTTTCTTGTGTTTTTGATTTTAGTCATTCTGACAGCTGTGCAGTGATACCTGATTATGGTTTTGATTTGTGTTTCCCTGATCATGAGTGATGTCCTTCACTGATAATCTTGAGAAGTTATCCATTCTCCCTGAGCCTTACTCTCCCTCCTAGGGAGGCTGTGAGATTTGTAAAACATTTTGTACAATGTCTAATCCTGGTGGGTCATTAATGGTACCTATTACTGCTACCATTATTTGTAATGGCAGAAGAGGAAAAGAGAAGTGGTTCTTTTTTTCTCTTGGACTGATTTATATCAAGAGAAAACAATTTTGCTCATTAAGTTCATTGATTTAATAGATGGAAGCAGAAGAAGCTGCTGCTAAAACATCAGAAGTGAACGTGGCAAGCTTACCTTCCAGCTATCACAATGAGACCAACACGGAAACCAAGGTGGGAAATAATACCATCCATGTGCACCGAGAAATTCACAAGGTAAGGGTGGCCGTGGCCAGCACACCTCCTTTCCGTAGCTCCCCATCCCATCAGAGAACTAAGGTCTTGTTTACAAATTTGATCCACAAGCCAAAAATGCAAATGAAGTTGGTAAAATACAGATTAAAAACCAGAGAAAGTGAGGGAGTTATTTAAGAGGGAGAGCTGTGTATCAGAACCCTAAATTGCTTTTGCATTTAAGTAATAAATTTAAGCTGCCTGCCGGTCTGATTGCAAAGGAATGGTCGGGGGTTTTTATCATTTGATAAAAGGGTGCAAACAAGTGTCTAAAGAGATACTTCTCTAGTATTGAATTTGAGGAATTTATCCCAGACGTTTTAATGGGTATTTTAGTAGAGAGTTGAAATAGAGGCCATGTTTGGTGAATAGATTTTCACTGATTCCTTAGGAGGACCTCAAATGTGATATTCTCCGTCTTCGGAAAGGGAAGCCTCTATTGCCACATGACTGAATGTTCGTTTGCTGGTTATCCACTCAAATTTCTAGAGCAGAGTTGTTCCTAGCCCACCACATGGCTAAGTGTCTTCTGGTTTAGTATCTGGCATGAGGAGCAAGCAGGTTCATTCCCCGCCTGACTTGAGGAAGAAAATGTTGCAAATCCAGAGGCACATAGCATTAACCCACCCTGGCATGAGATGTGTCCGGTGTGACTTGGGCAGGGTGGGGAGGGCAGACCTTGTGAGCCTGGTTTCTCTTGAAGAGAGTCTGGCGCCTAGATATTCAGGGTCATTGGTAGAGGCTGTTGAGTTGATGTTCTGTTGTGAGCATCAAGGAGCTTGACCTCAAAACTCATCTCAGCTCATCTATGGAAGGCCCAATGGCTCTCATGAGAGACTCTCACTTTTGTTCAAGGGACCAGGTAATGACTTCGTTGAAACAAGAGTGTTTCTGTGTCATGGAGCCTTTATAAAGGGGTCGATTTTTACGGGCCATTGCCTCGATTATAAAGTAGCCTTTGTGTGGCTCTCCTCCTGCTGTGCCCAGCTTCAGCGTGTACCCCCCACCCCACTCCCGGATAAATGAACGAGTCACCTGCTGACCAGAATCCTTTAGCATTGCTCGTCGGAGGACTGGAGAGTGTTTCCAAAAATTGTTTTACTTTTGTCAAAACCAATATTAAGTCATTCTCTTTGACAATAATTAGCTAACAGGTTTGGCTCTGCTTAAGGTTGCTTCTTGTAGATGTTGGAAAATCCAAGTGTGAGTCCTACCAGTAACTAGTATGATTTTTTTAAATTTAATTTTATTATGTTATGTTAATCACCATACATTACATCATTAGTTTTTGATGTAGTGTTCCATGATTCATTGTTTGTGCATAACATCCAGTGCTCCATGCAGAACATGGCCTCTCTAGTACCCACCACCAGGCTAACCCATCCCCCCACCCCCCTCCCCTCTAGAACCCTCAGTTTGTTTCTCAGAGTCCATCGTCTCTCATGGTTTGTCTTAGTATGATTTTGAAAAATCATTTGAATTTTACGTCCCTCACTAACCATATTTATGAAATAGGGAGGTCAATACATACATGACAGTAGCCTGGGGGTCAGATGACTTAAGGTACGTGAGAGCTCATTGTAAACTACAAAGTGCTTGCAACAGCAAGTTGTTCTTCTATTCCTGTTTCTTTCAGTAAAGTTAGGTCATCAGCACCATGGAGCGGCTTTCCAGTGGGTTCTATGGAGCGTCTGTCCTGTGCAGTGCCTCATGAGGGGCTGGCTGGTGGTGAAACAGATTGGGAAAACATCTTAATTATTTCTCCTAGAGATAAGGAAATGCACATTAGTATAATAAAGGCCCTTAGAAGTCCTGCAACCTGTACCTGCAGTAAAAGACTGTAGAATTTTTAAAAACTATGCCATCAGTTAATTTGGCAAAAATCTGAGGATTTATTTAGCTAAAAGTATTAAAGTATGTTGGTGAAGACATGATACTTATCTCCTCAGAACTCGAATTTGGTCCACTATGACAAAGCGGGCTGTGTTTCTACTCTGTTGTGGACGCAGCCTCTTTGTGACGTTAGAGCTGGCAGGAACTTTACAGATGACCTAGAAATGAGGACATCGTGAATCAGAGAAGTGACTTATTCCAGGTGACACACTAGATGGTTGTTGGTAGCTGAGCCGAGACTCAAAGAACCCAGATCTCCTACCTCCTTGGGCCGGCATCCCTTCCGTTCTTCATCCCCAGCTGAAGTGTTCCTTAGGACCGCGGATGGGGCAGGAGTCGGGGCACAGGCAGGGCGCGGAGGCTCAGCTTGGAGGTGTTTGCTGCCAGTGAACACAGTCAGATGGGGAGCCTCCCTTTGTACTTAAGCACTTCTGAGATGAAATATTTCACTAGAGTCTGGAGGGGGGCACCTGTAGCTAAAACCTGCTTGCTTCTCATGAGACGTTTGATGAGACACCCAGACCTGTCGTTGTTGAAAAGGACGTTGACGTTGAGTGTCAGGTGGTGAGCCCCAAGAACAGCTCCTGCTGAGTATTTGCCGCGTGCCAGGCTCTGTGCTGAGCACTCTGCACCGAGCCCCCTCATCGTGCTGCAGAGCAGCCCCGTGAGGTAGACTCCGTTGTGTTTCTGATGGCTGCACTGACAGGGGCCCGTCCGCCCGATGCCTGCTGCTGGAATCAGAAAGAAGGGGGGGGGCGTTGGGCTTTTTTTGGCTTTTGGCGGCGGTTCTTGTTTCGGGGGTTGGAAAAAAAAAAGAAACCAGCTTGTGAGATTTGCCCAGAATTCCTTCTGTTTCACGTTCACTGTCCTTGCTCTGCCGTAGGTCACCAACAACCAGACTGGACAAACGGTCTTCTCCGAGACGGTCATCACGTCTGTGGGAGATGAAGAAGGCAAAAGGAGCCACGTGAGTTGTCTTCTCTCCTGGGCTCACCCCCTTAGCTTGCGAAGGGTGCCCCAGACTTCAGGCCGTGGGCAGAAGGGAGCTCTCATTCACCTCTCCTGCCTCCTTTCTAGCAAGATTCCCCAGGTCCCACATTTCTGACCAGAGCGATGCGGTCTGGTAACAGGCTCTAGCGCAATGCTCTTTGCATCAGAAACAACAGAGAAATGAAATTCCGTTGTCACTTGCGTGGCTCCCTCTCAGCCCTGAAAGGGAACAAGGAAGTACCAGGTACACTGACTGGGGGCCCTGGCAGCAAGACCTGGCCCGTCCAGCCTGGAATCCCCAAAGCCTCTGGTGTGGCCAGGCCTTTTGTAATCTCGGCCCTGACCAGGCAGGTTGAGAGCAACAACACCTTAATTAGTGGAACCCCATGGCCTAAGGGAAAAGGGGTGTCGCCCCGCTCCAGGCTTCATGCTCTGGCCCCCTTGTGATGGTTCCTACTCCACAGTGGTGTGCTGCCTTGTCCAGTGGTGGGCTGGTTCTTAAAAAATGACAGAGTCCTAGTGGTGGAAGGGGCAACATTTCACAGAAGGAGAGCCTGGGCACAGGTCGGGAGATGACCCAATTGGAGTCACTGGTCTCCAGACTCCCAGGCCCCAGGTGACTCAGGTGCACTTTACCTTCTCAAAGAGGTGGCTGGCTTCAGATGCGGATGGCTGGTGAGGAGTGGACAAGATGACTGCCACGTGACGTGGCCAGCCGTAAACATGTGTGTCCTCTGTGGGGACCCCAAGAACTAGTCTTTCTGTGCCCAGGTGCCTGACACAAACCTCAGCTACAAGTTCTTACCCTCCAAGGTGCAGAGCGCTTCCCTGGCCTTCCGAGGGGTCGGGGATTTTTTTCCTCAGCTCTTTTGGCGTCATCACAGGAAGAGAAGCGTACCCATCGGAGCTAGGGAGGTGGTGTTGATGTGGTTGGTAGTTGGTGGGTTCTTTTGCTTGTTTCTGGCACAGAGCTCAGACATTTACTTCAGGCTGGGGGGTCCGGAGGGTTGCGTGTGATGATGGTGACCCACCATTTGAGGGACCTGGGGGGCAAGATCTGTGCTGAAATGGAAAGAGCTCTAGCAGCCGAGGCTAGAAGCATGAGTTTGCCACTTACGGGCTGGGTCACCCCGGTCACAGAAGCCTTTGAAGTGGAGACAGGATTGACTAAGTTCAGGAGGGAAGAGAAGCTAGCTTTCAAAGGTGGGAAGAGAGAGAGGGAAGGAAAAACAAACCAAAACAAACAGCCATAGATATGGTCATGGTACCAAGAGGGAAGAGCTTCAGAGTATCACAGATTTAGGTCTGGTTGGGGCCCCATGAGAAAGCCTCGGCAGAAGCCGTGGAATAGAAAGAGCAGGGAAACAGAACCCTCAGGGCTGTGAATTAGAAAAGAAAAATAGTCTTTGTTGTCAAGTGGAAAAAAAAAAAAAAGCATCTTATTGCACAATGGTCCATGTTTGCTCTGAGGAGCTTCTCAGAGCCCAGAGGGCAGCAGGCCTGACAATGACTAGCCAGCACCTGCCCGGGGGCCCAGGTGCACAGGTGGCCTGCCACACCCACACCCCGTGCCCCCTCTGCCGGCCCCCAAGGGAGGGGAGCAGGTCAGGTTTTGGGCCCTGTGGTAAGGGAACTGAGGCTCCGAGAGTGGTGGGCAGGGGAGAGATGAGATCTTGAAGATGCCAAGAATGTGCTTGAGTCAGGGAGCAGCTACCACACGTGCGTGCTGCCGCCAGTGAATTTGCTCACCAGCTTGCCCAGGTGTACGTGCTCTTGTGTGCCCTAGGCGTCTGTGCTTCGGGCCCAGCTGGGAGGCCCAGCATCTCCACACCTGCGAACAGTCTCTTGAGTCCACCCTGTGATGGAGGACATGCAGTGCCTTTGTGCAGTGTGCAATCCAAACTCCCATACGTGATGGCCTTGAGAATACAGGAGGTTGCCGGGAAGAGATAGAGCCCAGAAACCCAGTTTTTCTTGATTTCTGCTGAGGCCCTTGGGATAGGAACTCACTGAGTTTCTCTGTGGGAATAAATCCCGATTTGCTTGGCTAGAAAGGAGTTGTGGGGCACCTGATGCTGGACTGGCCAGTGCCTGGCAAATCCCATGGGTCTTTAGAGAACAGGCTGGAGACATTTCAAGCCACCTCTGGAAGGGATATCGTGTGGCAGAAATGGTGGTGTGTGTACCCTCCAGCAGAGCCCCTCTCGTCAGTGTGGCTTTGCCAAGAGTCAGAGAAGTGAGATCTGGTTTCGCGTGTGCACAGAAGTCTCCCATTCAACTCCTCTTTGCTTCCTGGGTCACCATTGTCCCAACACAATTGGGCTAGGGCTTGAGCATCATCTTGACAGAGACAAGGAGCTCCTTTTAAGTGAGTAGGAAACCGTAAAGACTAGATTGCCTTCCAAGGGATGTAAAGGGACAGACGTTGTCATCACTGTCCCTTTCCCTAATTTCTGAATATAATGATTTTTGCAGTTGGTTTGGAAATGCCTGCTGAGCTGAAGAAACTTTCTCTGAAATGGAAAAGAGAAGAGATTTGCCATTCAAAAGGACAAAATCCTATGCTGTTCAAACTTTAAAATACTGTAAACCTGGGCTGAATTTTCAGGATTTAAAATTACCATATGAATTCAATTACAAATCACCGCCAAGCACGCCCTATTTTTCTTTCTTCAAATGCGGGTGTGTGTATTAATATGTATGGTAACCCGAGGAGGCCCCTGGAAAGTGACAGGCAGGAATGCTGTATGCCTGTCGAGGAAATTTAGCACAGTGTGCGCAAGGCATTGGTCTGTTTTTACATTCAGCTGTGAACGGGGAACAGGCCGGCATGCCTCATTATTCCACCTGAGGGCCCCTGCGATGGTGATGGGGTCTGACGTCTTTCTATGAGGCTTTTGTTCTGAGCCCTCAGCCCCGCTCCCTTCACGGGCCAGTGGGTGGACTGATTGATGTTGGACTACTTGTGAGCAGAGGGGTCAGAAAGAAAGTGGCGTGCCGGAAGCCAGAGAGGGGACAAACCATGATGCAGAAGCGAGACGCTTTTATTTATAGAACTGTGTCCCCAAACATGAAGAATCTTGCCCAATTAGCCAAGGCCCCATTTTGAAGGGACATGTCCTCTCATTAAGCTACGGCTCACAATGACAAAGCTTAGCACATCATGCTTTTGCTGTCTTTTCAGTTTTCATGTTAGAACGCGATCTAGAAGAGTGGGTTTGTTTGTTTTTCCAGCTGAACATACCCAGTTGGAACCTACAGGTTCAATCACGTCGAACCAATTCCAAGAGATTGCTCAAGATGTCTGAGGCCGCAGGTACATTTCACTGCTCCAGACAGCCAAATCATAGCAATTCGAGTCACCAAGACTACCTTGGCCCAGAGAATGATCAGTGCACAGGTTGGGTACCAGCTTTGTTTGCTCCTAGTAGCCTGACATTTGATGCTGGAGTCACCCTTATCAGTTCAGTGGAATTGCTGAGGGCACCATGATAACAAGTCATTGGAGGTATATTTTAACGGAAATGCATAGGGGAAAGCATGAGTCTGTTAGAGAAACTCAGTCCACTCCCAGCGGCCCTGCCTCCTGGAGAGTCCCGTTGGGCAGGGAGGCTAGCGTGGAGTCCCAGGCAGAAAAAGGTGTGAGGCCCACCTGGGTTCAGACCCTGTCCTGACCCTTATGAACTCTGAACTCTGTGATTCAGTTTCTTCATTCACCAAATGGGGCTAATAATCCGTGGTTGGCAAAATTGGGTGAGAATCTAGGAAGGCAAGGTTTATAAAAGCTCTTTGTGTAAGGCTCGTTATTATTGAAAAGTAATTAAAACTGGGTTCTCACCGGCTTCTCCCCTGGTTCCCAGCAACCTACTACAAAAAGAATGGAATCTGGCTGGCAGCTGAGGGTCTGTGTAAGGCCTCCACGGGGCTTCTCCCCTTTGATGTTTGTAGCCTGGGGCTAAGCTCTCCAGGGGCCCGCCTCACCCTGTGAGTCACGGGTTTCACCAGAGCTCTTTGCTCAGGTTGACTCACTCTGCTTTTCTTGTCCTTTCGAGTCATTTGTGTCTGGTTTGGGCGTTGGGGATATACACTGAGGGAAGGAGGGGCCACAGTGAGTGACATGAATGGGGGATGGTCAGGTGCTGACAAGTTGCAGGAAGTTGGCAGAATGTATACAGGTTTCTACAGAAAACAGACTTAGGGTTGTAAGAGTGATAAAATAGTCTTGTGCGAGCCTGCAGGTCTCTAGTCCTATAACCAGACATCTGGGTACGTTTGCATGGCTAAATTTATAGTTTGAGTTGACTTTGTGATTTCTGGCCAAGTATAAGGCCCTTGTGCCTTAATCCAGTAGGAAAAAATTATAGGAAGAATTGAGGAGCTCTGGATGGTTCTGAGAAATGGATAAACGATCCGCAAGTAAAAGGTGATGTGGGTGGGCAGACTTTAAGAAGGAGTAGGCATTTCTTTTTGAGCTAGAAGCAGACTATATTACATTATACTCTCCTCAACCTAAATATCCTTCAAAAGGGAATTCATTAAATGTACATGATTCCACTTCCCAAATCAAAATAGTATGAAGTTAACAAATGAGTTTCATATAGGTTTCATGTAGGCTGATATGAAGGGATGCCTTCAATAAAATGTTAAGTGAAAAAAAAGCAATCGCAGAGCAGTATATGTACTATATAAAGCATAAAAAATATACTCTACATCTTCTGCATATAAAAGAATCTCATTTTCTGAAAGAAAAAGTATACATAAAAAGCTGAGCAAAAATATATGCTACATCATCAACAGTAGATATCCCTGGAGGAACTGAAATGTGCAGAGATTTTTCCTTTTATCAATTTTTACATATTTTTAATGTTTTAAAAAGGAGCTTCTGAATTATTTATAATTTTGCCACAAATGTCTGTCTATACTTCTAAATGATTTTGCAAGTAGTTTCACTCTGTAAGTCCTAGAAATTAAATGGGT